TATTTTTATTTATTTTTATCCAGGTTTAGTTCAATGTTTCTGATGTGGCAGTGATTTCCATGATAGGAAGGCCTCCACTCCATATTCTTCTCTTTCCTAGTCTTTACTCAACTCCCTACTATTGCAAAATCTGCGATGTTAGGGTACCATGCCTATTGATTTGTGTGAGTTTGGGGGGTGTTCCCAGCAGTGGAATCCTGGTTATATAGAATCATCGGCTATAGGAAATATGAACTGAACCAGTCTGCGCTCTCATTAGCAGGAGATGAAGTCCTCATCTTCTAGCAACGTTGCTAACACTTGATATTTTCTGTCTGACTGATTTGTGAATGTTGAGTAGTGTCAGTTTTCCAGTTCTGATCTCTAGTGAGGTGGGGGATCTGTTTATATATGTGTTAGCCATTTGGGCTTCTCCTTCTGTGAATATTTTGTTTTTCTAGTGCATTTTATGTCTTTTTCTCATTGATTTGGAAAACCCACCTGTATATTCCTGATATTAATCCTGTGACATTTTAGACATTGCAAATATTACAAACATTTTCTTTCTAATATATCTGGGTTTGGCTGCTAATATTTGGTTTAAGACTTGTGCTGTCTTTTTTTTAATTGTGAGAGTAAAATTTGAGTGCAAGAGGCTCTTATTGCTTTTTCCTGTAGAAAATTCCACAGGACCTTCATTCAATTTATTAATTTACCCCATATCTACGTGCAGCCTTAAGTAAGTGTATCTACCAGATGTCAGCTAGAGCCCTCTCTTCAGAGCTAGGTGAAATTGCTTTGAAAAACTCCTCTCTCAATTTTTTGAAACGAGATAAAGTCATCCCCAGAATTTCATGAATTTTCGGATCCTCATATTATCAAGATCCCCTTTTCTTTGAGCCTCTTCTGTTCCATATCAACACGATAGCTGAATGTCTCTTTTCATTTGTTAATCTGCACCATACATTTGCCAGTTTGAAGCTGATTCCTAAAGTTCATGGTCTTACAGCATGGTTTCACAGCTTGAAACTTAAGTGCCTCTGTCCTCTTGTTTTCTTGTCCTTTCCCAACGTCCCCAACCTGCAAATTCTTTTTCTCCATTATGCAGAGCGATTCTGCTCTCTTCAAACTTAACTCCTCAGACACCAAAATGCTTAGCAAAACCAAATGTCCTCTTGTTAGACTGACACCTCTAGAAGCCAACTGGGTTATAATAGGTCCTGCAAAGAGAAATGACTATTTAATATTACAATACTAATGAGCGGTTTTGCCATCAACATAACCTAATGAGAGATGAGAGAGCCTTTTTTCCCGGATGCGCATGTCTTTTACATTAGGGTATGTGAGCTTTTTAGGAAGGTGAATGGTAAACATTTCCAGAGCAGAGTTGCCTTTTCTCTTTCTTCAGGGGCTAAGGCTTTATGCTGGTCTTATTAGTACAGGGTGTAAAAAGAACACGGATCTTGGAACCCTATGTGCTCTGTCACCTGTGTGATGTTGGATAAGTTGCTTATTCACATGCATCCTCCATTTCTTCATTGTCAAATGAGGATACTAACACCTACTTTATAGGTTTGTTTGGAGAATTAGAGGTAATACAGAGGGCCTAATATCCTTCTTGGTGCAGAGCAGGTGTTCATGACATGGTGGGACATTATTATATACGCCATTGTGACAGTGAAGTACTCTGGAAGGCAGCACAGACACCCAGCACATCCTTTGGGATGGCTGCGGGGACTTGAGTGGCAAGTAACTGAGAAGTGGTATTTTTGTCAAAATGCTGGAGAAAACGAAAGTGAGTTTTCTGAAATGTTCAATTGGATTCTCACAAAACATCTCACTTACCAATCAATGATCCTTGATAGTCTTGGGTTCTTCATCTTTTGATATAATTTATTGTTACAAAGATTCTATTTGGCTTTGACTCTAGGTAGTGGTAAAAATTCTAAACTTTCTTTTCAAGACTAAAAATACACATTGGGAAAATCATAAAATCCTTAGAATTCAAATACACCAGAACATTTGTGACAAATAACACTGCAGCATCTTTGTAGGGTAAAACTGAAGAGTGTTTTTTTAATCTCTCTATCCATTAGAATTTGTGGGCACAAGAATTTTCAAATTTGCTAACATGGGGATGGTTTTATTCTATATGGATCTGCCTCCCTTGTTGCAATTAGAGTTATGTGCAAGAAAGCAAAAAGAAAATAAAGCGGATGCTATCAGTCTGTCCTGAAAGATGGAGATTTTCATTACAACTTCATCTGACTTAACTTTTCATGTGCACTATTTCTAAAAACGTTTGCATCGAAGTGAAATTTTGTTTAAAAAACCAAATGTCTATTGGCTTCTACAAAATTTTCATCTAGATATTTGATGAAAGAAATCTGCACTTGAAATGGGCCACCTGTAAGAAAAACTAATACAGTGTAATTGGATAAATAGTCTAGTTTTTTCAGCTACTGCAAAAAAATGTCACCAAGTGGACAATCAATTTACATAACTAGTTTGTATGAAATTAAAAGCCCCTATACATGCAAATTTATGACACAGGAAAATATAGGTTTGGTTCTTTGTTGAACTTTGTGATTCTCTTTAAAGCTTGAGAGCCTGGGTCCTTTTTCCAGATAATCAGATCTCGTTGGCTGGAGAAACCCCTGTGTCAGATCATTGTAGATCTTCTAAGCTCTGTTTAATGACCCAGGGTCCAGAGTCATTTGTTTCACTCCATTTGCCAGCTGGTCTGCATCCCGTCTAGATGAGCTCTGCCCAGCTATGGAAACTGACTTTCCCCACTTGGGGAATTACTTTTACTCCCAAAGCATGAGATGCCGCAGGACCTGATCCATGAACAGGCATGCACAACTTAGAAGTCAAGGGAGGTCAACCTCAGGTTTGATCATGGGAAATGAGAGCCAGTAGATAAATTCTTACAAATTATCCTGAGATGCAGGGCCAGATGGACTTCAGCTGTGCTCAGTGTGGCCAGCTCAGCAGTGTGCCCTTCTGTTGATTCTTTTTTCTCCTCTGTTTTATTCTCTTTCTCCTCCACTCTTGTTTCTTTGGGGGCTACTATCGCTAATGAAACTGTAGCACGTAAGTTCTGCTTTTTGGGGGAACCCAGGCTAAGATACTCTCTTCTCATCTTAATATAACATGCAGACTAGAGCATTTTATTGACCGGACTTCATTTATGATCTCATCAGTACATGGTGTAAATGAATTCTTTTTAAGAGTATAACATGGAACAGTTGTCAAGTAGCCCATGAATCTCAGAGATTCTTTTGGATAGGAAATAAGAAGACTCAGAAAATAATACTTGGAACTGATTTAGCTTAAAGAAATAAATGCTTGCTTCATCTTACCTGGACTGGCCTCTTTTATGAGCTAGGTAGGATGTAATCAGACACTTTCTTTGGAAAGTGTTTATTTGGTTCATATCCTGGTGAAATTGTGCTGAACCTCCTGTGTCCATTGCTATACTGATAATGGATACACTTTCAGACTTAACTTTTGGTGTGGAAATTTTTTGCTTTTGCTCTTTCACTGTTCCTCCCCACTTTTTATAGTAAGACTTAGCATTTTCTTTTTCCACCCAGTTTCAGGATTTCAGAGGGTTAATTTCAAAACTAATAGTAGTAAGACTTAGCATTTTCTTTTTCCACCCAGTTTCAGGATTTCAGAGGGTTAATTTCAAAACTAATTAGCATATCTGTCTTCCTCAGCACAGTGATTGGCTGAGGAATGGGCACATCATTCAGCCAATAAGGATTAGGCTCATGATTTTGACTAGAACTGTTGGGGGAAAGAAACTCTCTTTTGGCTGGTTTCAAGCTGTGAGGCTAATCTCAGAGCTACTGGGGCCACTATAAGGTAAAAGGCTATATGAGCATGAAGTCTTCATGAAGGAAATTTCTACAAAGGAAAATCTACACAGAAAGATGAAAAGAGGTACCTCCTAACAGTTAAGTGAACACCTGATCCAGCCATACCTGAAGCTGCCTTACCCCTAAATTTTCCAGATATCACAGTAAATAAATCACCTTTATGTGTAAGCCAATTCGACTTACCTTTTGGTCAATCATTATAGAAAGAGTCCTAACATGTGGTCAGGGTAATGGGATCGAGATATATATTGATAGCTGATATTAGTATAATTCCATTAATAATATTCTGAAATATTTTGAGATAAGATGATGACTATGGTCTTTGAGATGCAAAAACTTAACTCTTCCCTCCTCACTCCACCTCTGTAATCCCTCCCAAAGAGGTGATCTCTCATTGCCCTTTTACTTCTCTATTTCCCCTCCTCCCATACCCTCCTTCCAAGAAAATTTGCCTATTCTACTAGATGTTTATGAAACAAATGCCCTTACATCCCTGTTTCCCTCCCTTTGGAAGCAGCTGAGATGAGAAGAGTAGGCAATCCTTTGCCTATTTAGAAAATAATAATATTTAAAGAAAGAGACAGGAAAGTATATTTGTTATAAGCTTTTTCTTTTTTTCTTTTTTCTTTTTTAGAATTGAAGCTTATGAGTTTATCTATGCCCACTATATTCATAATTACAATTTAATATCTGCATACAAAAGCTATGTAAAAATCCATTTTTCCCAAATATACAAATTTTCTTTTTGGATAGTTCAAAACATTTTGATCACAGATTTCAACAGAGTTTTAGGATGAAAAAAATATTACCGATCTAGCAATATTACTTAACACTGTTTGCAAAACACAGATCTTCTGATGACTGTAAATCTTTTCCTATTCTGTAGTATTTTTCTGATTCTTAGGGCATGAAAACATTGTAGGGGGAAAAGTGTTTTCTCTGAAGAAAGCATAGAGATCTAATTTGGCTCTCTAATCAAATGAAAATGCCAAGTTAATTAGGACAACCAAAAGAAAAGTGGGGTAATGTCAACACATTCATGCCCCGATATCTTCTAAATGAACAATACATGTGTAATTAAAGTGTCTTCTTTTGTCTTACATTGTGCTCCAGAACTTACTTGAGTATTATCTGCATCCTGAGGAGGACAGATTTGTATCTGATTGTCTTGTGCATAAGGTGGGTCAGGTTTAACTGTGCAACAGAAAGCCACAAACAGCGTCTTACCTGTACGATATTGCTCTTGAAGGCGGCATTAATTAATGTGGAAACACACTAGAAATGAATACTTTTTGCATTTGCAAACATTTATACAACACAGTAAAAATTCTGTGATAAGGCCAAACCTTTTTTCCCCCAGTCTGTTTTTTTTTTCATGTGTGTGTTTTTAATGTTTTATTTTTTTTTATTTTTATTTTTTTTTTTTTTTTTTTTTTTTTGTTTTTTCATTTTTTTTTTTTTTTTAAAGATTAAAGTAAAATGTTTCAATTGTAAAAAATACACACCGGGCAAATCCTTACTTGGATAATAAATATCTACATCACAGTACAATAAAATTTCTTCTCTATAAAATTTAAATATGGATTATAGTCTATCACTATCAAAAGAAACACTATGCTACTATTTCCATATTATTAAAATAACAGGAAAAATTACGAGCTTATTTTAGAACCTGATGCCATAGCCATTGGAAAGGGCAAAGAGATTCAAATGTCTGTAAGCACTCTGCTTTTGAAGAGGAACTGTGGCTTAGTTATTCCCTTAAATTCAGTTTATGAAAAAGGTTTAGCCTTACAAATGCTGGCTACACTTCAAAAACCATAAGACTGATTTCATAATTTATGACTCATGCAGCAAAAGGTCAATATGACACGAATATGTTAAAGTTCCATAGAATAAAAAATGTATCACTGACAATGACATGCTTTGAGGGTGCTCAGCTGTCCCATGGAGGCTGAGTCTTGGGGGGGACTTAGTGTTGAGGGGGGACCAAGGCTGCACACCTATTCACGGAAGAGCCACGAGAATGGCGTTGCTGGAGCAGAGCCGAGCCTGGTGGTCCACCAATGACAGCGCTGCAGATGGACGAGGTATCACTCAGACATAGGTGAAGGGACATCACTAGGCTGAGGCATCAACGCTGCAAAGCGTGTCATTGAGGACAGAGGCTCATTTGACTAGAAAAAGCTTTGAGGTGGCACATGGTGTTTTGAGCAGAATCATAAAGAAGAAAGGTCTTACTTTTCTCACTATTTCTGGAAATACTACATGTCTAAATTGAAGAGCAAAGTACACTTGAGGGTTACGAAAACACACACACACATACACACACACACACACACACAACCACTCATCTCCAAAAGTTAAGTGATTTACAAATAAAAATCCCAGTTGTACAGGTGTGTTCTCCTCTACTGGGATGTCTCCCCTCTGTGAGGGGTTTCGATTAGGTCCACACTTGATTCGACAGTCTGGACAATGTAAGAAAAAATATTAAAAGAAAAAATCCAGAACAAATCTCTAATAACTGAGTTTTATGAGATGGAATCTTAAGATGCATTTAGTACCTCAATCAGTTACAGAAGAAATGAGTCACTCTGACCACCAGGGCATGATACTTTGAGTCCTATCGCTTTTCCTTTCAACCTGAAGTACTTTAAGGCTTGTTCTCCTCATCATAAAGTGGTTGGTCAGCCTTTCATGAAAATTTGGGATCAGCAGTTTGCCTGCCTAAGGCAGCCATTTAAGGCTGAGGATCGAACATAAATTTACTGGGGGATGGCTGGCTTACTGTAGATATACTGTACCATTTGGTCAATGCCTCATCATGGTTAATCCCCAGAGCATCCCAATTTTGCTTTAGATCGGGTTCTGTATTTTTATATTTGAATCTGGGTGTGTCTAATGTACTGGGGAGTCTCTGTCACACAAATTGAGGAGACCTTCCCAGGAAGGTTTGATGTCTGAGAAGTCTGTGAACCTTCCAGTATCTGACTGACTTGTCTCCCTCTCACTCTTCTGAGGGAAAGTTTCCCTGTACCCCAAAGCTTCTCAGAGTTACCCTGGAGCTAGAAGCTGACTCAGCAGTTATGTTTCAAACAGTAGATCTCCAACAAGAGTCAACAGAGGCTGATGAGATGTTAACAAAGAAAGGACTCAAGGAGACTGGCTAGAGACTGCCTAGAGAGAACAAAACCAAATAAAAAAAACAACAAAACAAAACAAAACAAAACAAAAAAACCCCAAACAAACCCCCAAACCGAAACCAAACAAAGAACCTCCAACCTCCCTCCCTAAACTCTCTGTAAACAAAGTCAAAGCAGGTAATCAAATCTGCCCATGAACTTCATGTTTATAATTTTAATTTCTTCACCTACTTCTTTTCTCTGGCTAGCAAGTTCCATAGTGATGTTCTTGTTTCCTTTTCCCCAGAAGCCAGTATGACTGCTTTAGTGTATTAAACATAAGCTTTTCCTTTCAGATGATTTCTAGTCACACCTGAAATTTTCAATGCCATTCCTCTCCTTTTTCCCAGGCCATCCTGCCTTTCTCTAAATAGCTGATGAGTAGTGTATCAAATTCTTATTTTGAATCAATACCAAATATACTTTCCATAACTGTTAAGAGGGCTATAACTTTTGTCTAATATAGCTAGAAATTTGAATATGAAAGAAATAATCAAAAGAATCAGATTCCTTCTTCCCTTCTTCTGAAATTGGTACAATAATAAAAATGGGAAGGACTTTAGAGTTCATGACATATTCATCAAGACCCAAGGTGTGAAAACCAAGACCCAAGATCACAAATCCGCCAGTTGACAGAGCACTGACTAGAAGGGACCCTGACTTCTGGGCCAGTTAAAAAAAATTAGCCCATTGGTTTTCATGGTGACTTTCATTCTTTGTTTTTAGGTAAATCTCACTGATATGGCTTATTTTCCCCAGCATTTTCAGGATAAGGCAGTACAAGGCAGGCAAAGGAATAGTGTATATCTACTATGCTAGTGAAGAGTGAGATACATTCAATTGCATGGGTATATGCTTTGCCCATTTTCTGACACTGAAGTAATGAAGCATCACCATTTGTTTTCTGGGTACAAGCTACTCCAGCTTTTGTCACTGGGGAGGTGGGTTGGGAAGGGAAGGTGAGTGAAGGGTCATGTATGTGGTCTGCAGGCATTTTCTGTTGAATATCTGTCAAGGCAATGCTATGAGTGGGACAGAGAGGATCGGCGGCCAGTCTTTGTTTAGCGATAGTCAAGCCTCAGAGTAAGAGGGAAAAGGGGTCTAGGAAACATTTATGAGTAGAGCAAAGAGCTTGAGGATCCAAGACCAGAAAAGGCATCCTCAGACCATAAGTACATGTAGCGGGCTCTCAGATGACTGCATATCCTTCAACTCAGAACATAACCACACTGATCTCTTCTCAGAATTCCTCCGGAACAAGACTCGAATCTCAACTCATTATCTCTCCGTGATTAGATTTAATCCATAGGGAAATATGTTGTCAGCTCAGCAAAGATGCGATCAGGGTAAATAACTTCAGGAGTTTGGGAGATGATGGATCAGATGTCATTGAAAAGTGACAACACTGTAAATAGTTTTAATTTCTGTGGATATTTTCACTGAGCATAAACTGTAAAGAGGCCTTCCTACTTTGAGGTAATACTTTGTGAATTTTTGAAAACTTTTAGGCCACTGACATTGATGGTGGTTTCTAATTTCTTTGAGTTCACCAAATAAAGTTTTCCTTATTGGCCTCAGTCAGTCAAATACCTGCACATCTTTGAGTCACACCCTTGTATAACTTGAATTAAATCATAGGATTATAAAAATTACAGTAAAAGAATAGTTGATTTTTTTGGGGAACAAATATTCCTGTTCATTCTAAGTTATGCTGCTAGGAGAGAATGAAGCATACTGAAAACGGCACGCTCTAGAATAAATAAAACTGTGTCAGACCTTCCCCTAGAAAGCTGAAAGCCATATCTAACTGAAGATGGCCTGTGCCCTGCTAATTTGAGCCCTGCAAAAATCAGGATTGGCTCAAGATGACCACATTATCTAGGTTTTAAGGCTCCTTTAGTCTTCTGCCGTGCCATTTTGCTTGCTCAAGTCTCTGACCAGGGACAGATGGGAGCTGGTGATGGCTTGGTGCTGGTGAATTTAATGATGGTCTCCACACCACCTCCATAGCTGTAAAACCTTCAAAGCATTCACATCAAAGGACTAGAGAACAAAATGCAATAGTTACAAGTACCCGCATTCAAGGGGCAATTTCATCCATGTCTATGCCAAGGACTGCCTCCCTTCACCTCCAAACAGTCCCTCCTAACACACAAAAAAACAAAAGAACAAACAAAAAAAGAGCTAGGCAATGGAATGAAATGACACCCAGTAGTGCTGTAGGAATTATGAGAATGAAGTCAGTCAGTCTAATCCTCAAACACTTCCAAGAACAACGGAGGGAAGAGTTCTGTGGGGCATTCCACCTTCATGTGCAGGAAGCGGCTGGCATGACAGGCTCCAATCATTCGCAGGTCGGTCACCTTCATCAGGAGTTTTGGCCAAAAGTGTGTCACGTGGTGTTTTCGGTAGTTGATATAGTGTTCAAAGGCCAGCAGGAAACTATCTTGGTATTTTTCTATTCTCTCAACACAGGCGAGCCCTGGGCGATCTGAGAAAAGGAGAAGAGATGGATGTTACTTCAGAGGTGGAAAGGGGAAGGCCTGCCTTGTCCAAGTGTGAAAGTGGGGCGATCTGAGGACTTTGCAACTCCTAGGAATGAGCATGGATGCCACATGGACTCTGGGGCATCTGGGACCACATGCCAGGGAGTGCCATAATTTATATGAGTGGAACGAATGCTTTGTTCAGATAAACATCTCTGTTTTAGACAATCACCTCCATGCTTGTGAATGGCAATGCCTTTCTTGTACGGTCCAGAAGGAGAAGCTGCAAAGAGCTGAAATACTTTACATAATAAAGGAACGATTTTGAGTTTCCACTAGCCTCCTGGGAGAAAGAGGAGGACAAGCATCGGAGATGGGAAAAGAAACTGAGAACATCACAGGAGGCCTGGATGCCAAAGGAGGAATGTCGAATAATAAGAGATGCTCGTGAAGACAAAGAAGCAGAATACCCACTCTTAGTTGTTTTCCAGGCTGGAATGAACCATTCCTCCTCTTCCCTTATACTTTAGTAAAACTACTATCTGTACCAGCCTTGTGTAGGTGGTGCTGTGGAGAATTAAAATGAAAAGGAAAGGGGATGTAAGCCATGCGAGAGTCATCCTGTGCAGAGAAGAGAAGAGTCACAGTCGGAAGTTGGGACGAGAGGAGGCCGTGATCAAGTAAGGCCTGGGAAATCTTCCCAAGTCTTGGAAGGACCACTGGTCTTCCCACTCTGTGTGGGAGGAGACTCGAGGCAGTTTCCAAAAAATGATAAAGGGATGTCACAAGAAGGCTGGATGACTATGGAATACCCAGGCTGCAAACACTTGGGTTACAAAAGTAATTTATAAACCTGGATGAATTCTTCAAATAGCTTTGGGAAGGCTACCACCCCTGCCCAGGTCTCCTCCCTCAGATTGTTCTGATCAAATCAATTCACACTGAAGTGTCTGGTGATTGAAATATCTGTATTAGTAAAAATCTAAAGAAGGTTCTGCTTAATCTGAAAGGGAAGATCAGGGCTAACATCTCAATCCAGCCTTCTGAGTCTAAAAATATATGGGCTTTTGGAATCCCCTATTCAGCTCAAATTGCAATTTGTGCATTTTTATTTTGTGTTTTCCTTCATATTTGCTGCTGCTGCTCTGTGGATCCACTCACTCCCTCTGCTTTCCTCTCCCCTGTCTTCTCTCTCCTTTTGAATGTGCCAGGGAATTCTCCACAGCATCCTCTAATTTTTGATCCAAATAGAAAATCAACATAATATTGCTCTACATGTATTCCTTTAAAGGGAAAAAAATAACCTGGGTTTTGTGACATCAAAACTCTGTTCTTTGATGAAAGATAAAGATAAGGTGGTTATATAAATGATACAGAGAAAATGAAAGGACATGTTGATGACGCTCAAGTTGTACTAAACATGTTTATGGAAAGTAAAACATTTTTTAAAGGTCATAGATGTTTTTAACTCCCTAAGACAAAATTTCTCAAAGATATGTCTTTCCAATTATTTCAATTTTAGCTCTCTGCTTAGAACTAAGGGCCTCAGCAGTGGTAGCTCCTGGAAAAGTCTTTGAAGGAAAGGCCTAAGAGATTGTGTAACTGAAATGCGAAACAAAACAGTGGGGTTTAGAAGACAACGCCCAGAAAGGACTGGAGCCTCAGAACACTGACATGTAGCTGTCATTCGCCAGAGGTAAAGTGTTTGGGAATATTTTCCTGGTCCTGGCAGTATTAATGAAATATGCCCAGATCATTCATGTGGAATAGATTTTTTAAAAGTTATTAAGTATATCACAGGGCTGTCAGGAAGGCAGAATTGGGAAGAATCATTCAGTTAGATAGTTGATAGAGTTTTGAGTCACATTCACAATTTTTGCCATTTCCACATATTCTTTTTATCTATCTTACTTAGATTATTTACTTAGTCCGTTAAATTGACTCGCTATGGAGGAAACTTCATGTTATGTACTAAATGGAAATCCACTTGCCAGAAACAGATGATAACCACAAAAATGGATGCATGGCAAAAATCTTTATTACATTTTAGCTAAAGGTTCTTGCCGAAAACTGTCCCCAAAAAAGGGGTTAAAATATTGGAGAAGTGTTAAAGACAGACTAGCATCGAACGGAATCGCAATTCGTGCCTTATTTAGAAGTTATAATCAGAAAAAAAGTTGTAACAAAACAGCTTTCTCACTGTGTGATTCCATGTTACTTAAAGCTCTTTGTACCACTAAATTATCAGCTAAAAAATTATCTTGAATTCCCCCCTCCAGAAATATAATTACCATTATTTAGTTCAATTTCTTTATTATAAAGGACACTGAGCCCAGAGAAGCTAGGAGGTTCACTCAAGGTCACATAAGGAGTTCTTAGAAAAACTGTAAGTTTTATTTCTGCTGAATGACTGAGGACCGCAGTTTCTTGCTGGCTGTCGACTGGAGGGTACCCTAAGCTCTGAGAGGCCACCTGCAGCTCCTTTTAATGTGAGCTTTGCCAACATGGCTGCATATCTCATCAAGTCAGCAAGGTGAGTCTCTAGAGTAAGTCTGCTAGCAAGAGGGAATCTGGTATAACATATGTAATGTAACATGTAGAAGTGGCATCAAATTTGCTACATTCTATTGGCTAGAAGCAAGTCACAGGTTCTGCACACACTCAACAGGAGGGGATTGTGCAAGGGTGTGAATGTGAGGAACGTGAGGGCATAACCTTGAGCCTGCCCACCACAGCATTCAAGAGGGCTCATTTTGCTATTCTACCTACTTATGTTTATGTTTAAAATTTTCTACAATAAAAAGAAAAGAATGATTTCTTTTTATAAAAGTCTGCCATACCTAAAATTTCTGCAGCAAATGAATATCTAGATCAGATTAAATAAAACAATTCTACTGTGTTAACCAGGAAGCATCAAGTCTACAGAGGATTCTCATTGTACTCGTGACTGATGTTTTACTCACCTGTTCAGCCATTTATCCAATAAACACTTCTTGAATTCTACTGAACTCTGGCCTAGGTGCTAGGTGCACAGTTAGACATACCTCTGTCTTCAAAAAATAAATAGTCCAGAGGGAGAAATGAACAATTTAAGCAGATAGCTAAAGGGTGGAACGACAATAGCTAAGGCACAGCGGAACTTAGGGTGCTCTGAAAATGCAGATGATGACTCTGAAACCACTTTCTATTTCAAGACTAGTTTTCCTCAAGGAGTCTGATGTATTTTGCATTTCCTATTTATTATGACGTGCTCTCTGAAGAAAAAAGTGTCAGTATTATTATCTACTCTTCACCAATAGGAGTTAAAGGCCTTGATAATGAGCCATGGCAGGTTAAAGATGGTAGCAGATTCTTTGCCATTCCTCCCATCGCTAGGTAGACTCTTGAATCTGAGCTGGTGTTGGGACTTGTTTGGACAAACAGAATGTGATAAAGATGATGCTATATGACTTAAGACTGGGCCTTAAGACATCTGTAACTTCTGCTTTTGTGTTTTTGGAACTCTCCTGGAAATTCACCAGCCATGTAAGAAGTCCAGCTACTCTGCCAGAGGAGAGACTGCATGGAGATAGGCCTGAAAATGTGTTTGATGTCTCAGCCCCCACCTCAGCCATCTTGGGTGTTTTAAGCCACTAAATTTTGGAGTTGTGTGCTATATATAACAATAAATAACTGCAACTTAAGTCATAGCTAAGCCATGGACAAATTCTAGCTTTCACTCATGGTTTCCTTACCTAGAACTTCATGTAGTATGGTGTGGTCACTCATTCCCATATTCTGTGTACACAAAACCAGAATGGGCAGGATTGGGCAACTACTGCAAGGCAGGCTGAGTAGTGTCCACTGAAGGCAAACCATTTCATAGAGCCCTGTAAATAGTTCCTTCCCATGGTGCTGGGAGACTGCAAAAAGTATCGGACCCCTGACACCTTCCTTCAGTTCTCAGTCCATTGGTAAACCCACAATTGCTCCCTGGAGAGTGAGCTATGAGTCTGAAGTTAAAGAGAGATTAAAAACTCATCAGGTGATTTGAATTACCACCAGAGAAGCAAAAGCTCTTTTGACACCCAGTAAAGAGTCTAGGCACACTCACCTGAAGACATCAGCAGGACAGCCTGAAGGAGAGCTACTTCAGTGTCATCCAGATTGAAAGAAGACAGCGACATGCCCAGGTCGAAGATGGCATCCGACACCACCCCAAGGCCCCCGTTTTTCAGCTGACCCCGTGTCACTGCCATTTCCCCATTCAGGGTTAAAGTCTCACTTTCTGGGTCATAGCGCACAGCAGCACGAAGGGACATGATCTCCATGCAGCAGCCTTTGAGGAGGATTATCTGGTCTTCGCATGGCAGCTGAAAAGAACCAGCCCACATTGGCAAAGAACAAGTGGACAGAGTTAGTCAGGAGCAATATGCAGCATCTAAAGGGCAGTGGGAACAACATCCTGTGATTGACATTGGTCCTGTACGCTTTGAGCCTACTGTCTTTGTGGTTCTTCCCTCCTTCTTGGCTGCAGACTTTCAAAACCATTTTTCATACTCCGAGTTGGTCTTAATCTTCACCTGACTTCAATCTCTTTTGCATATTTATGACAGATATAGATCTCCAACTGCTATTATAGTCACACGTGAAACTGCTAATAGCCCCTCACTCTGGGGTTTGTATTATAACCCAACTGATAACTGCTTGAGAGCGGGGTTTATGTTAAATTTATCAATACTTGTGTCTTACAGCTCCAATAATCAACAGGATGGATTCTACTGTTTAGCTGGCAACTGTGATTCTTTTTGTTTTTCTGAAACAAGTTTGCTCCTTGAGTCTATTAAAAGGTACAAAACCAGGTCACTTACAGATGTATACTAGCCATGAGGCCCAGAGACATAAAAACTTTGCCCAAGGTCATCCAGTGAGTTAAGGGCAGAGGTGAGAACAGAATTCAGACTTCTGGCTCCTAGAATTATGTTTTTCTCAGTACCTCAGGCACCAGAATTACTGAACATACAGGATTGTTCTGCCAGTGTAGCAATCCCGTTTTAAGATCATTTAGTTGCCCTATTAATTAAGATTTGTGATAAAATGACAACATTAATAATCAACTTAAAAAAGAAACTTTGTTAAGCAAAATAAAAAAAAGTCAGAGTTGTATTTTCTGAATGGGAAGAATGTTTAATTAAATGCCATTATCATAATAGTTTGAACGGCTGTTAGTTACTGGGTGTTTTTGATGAATTGGGCCTTGTGCCAAGTTTGACCTGCATCACCTTACTTAATCTTCACAGCACTACAGTGAGGTAAGTATACTAATTCCAGTTTTATTCACAGATGTGGAAATCCAGGCACTGAGAGGTTGAGTAATGATGGGGGCAGGGGTGGGCGCGTCATATGAATATTTGTGGGTGAGGCTAGGATTTGAAGTTAGATCTGCCGGAGTCTGATACCAAGAGAAGAGAACTCGCTTTTTGAAGTACTTTTTGTGGGACCAAGTTTCCATAAACAATGAATATGTAAGTTATACATAATTTCTATCTCTTCATTAAGCATGTGCAAATTCTTTTTGGGAAATACTCTTTGCAGCAGTTGACTAGTTCAATTTAAGTTATCATATAAAACTAAAAGTAATACTATTGGGTTAAATTTAAAATACTGAGTATTTCATATTTTTCACTAACTCTACCTAGCCACCTTACCATATAATTTCAAATTGTTTACTTTTTTACAGACTAAAAGTCACCTTGTATTTGGTTCTGGAATCCATACATGTGAATTCTCTCCTTCCACACATAAAAAGAAAAAATGATTTAGATTTGCTTTTATTTAGGTTCTAATTTGTACTCTTCAATTACATCATTGGATTCCTGGCCCAAGAGCATGGTAGAAAATAGGAAACCCAAGCTTAGATAGATCCTGCCCAGGCAAGATGGAGAACTGGCTGATGTGGGTGGAGGATGGCTTTAACACCTAGGGGAGTGGTGACTTCGGTCCTATCAGGATCACCTGAGGACTTGCTAACCACACATTACTGGCCCCGCCCTCTGAATATCTGCATTTCTTCAAGTTCCCAGGTGATGCTCATGCTGCTGGTTTAGGGACACCGCTCTTGAGAACCATTGGCGTAAATAAAATAGCAAAGAGAAACTACTAATCGGGTCAAACGATTTACTTTTTAAAATCTGTCTGAAAGCGTGCAAATTTGGGCAAGCTCCCTATTTGTAGCCAAGTCTGATTATAGATGAAGTAGAAGTTTTCTTTTTTAACTTACTGTGGATTAGTTCAAATTAAATAAAAGTTTAATAAGTATTTATCAAGGATCACCAAAGGTTTAAAAACTAAGCCAGATGCCTTTTCCTTTAAGAAGGGTTTGTAGGATGCTGGTGAGATTTGTTTCAACATGCAGGTAAATAATCTCTTAGGCACCTGCCAAAATACTTTCACTGGGAGAATGCTCCATGAAGGGCATGAGAGGCAGAGATGCAGGGATCCTCCTACAGACTCTTTATGTCTCCTTAGGAGAGCATCACTCAAGTTGATTGGCAAAGACAACAGTGCCCTGTACTGTAGAAGTGCTTCTTAAGTGTATTATTGGCAGCTTTGCCAGCAATGATTTTAGATCTTTTGAGGCCCAGGGTGTCCTTGCTTGCTGGGTTGGCATAAATCTTAGTAAGAAATAACCATGAGCACAATTTCAACAGCAGATGAATCAAATTGTCTCTGGGAAGAAACCTCATCTCTCGAGACCACCTGGGATCTACCAGCCCCATAGGTAGTGAAGGGTTTTATACACTCATTTTCCCTCTTTGGGTTCCAAACATGGTGTGAAAGTCTAAATGTCCTCAGGAGACCACAAACATCAGAAACATATTCATTTCTGCTGTACGAGTGTCCCGTTTTTTTTTTTTGTAGTTTGGAGATGATAAAATATCAGTGTTGAAAGAGAGATGGAATCGTAACTTTGAAGCAGGCTTAAATTTCTGAGGAAATGTAAAAAGTTTGCCACAACCTATGCTTAAAAAGTTCCATGTTGACCCCTCACCCATTGCCACTGGCATAAGTGCACAAAGTGTTTGTTACTGGTGGCAGAGATGGCTTCTTTTCTTTAACAGAAATATCTTTTCAGTGGTTTACATGAGCTTTACATTTTCTAAAAAATATTTTTGATGGGTATTTGAAGGGGAACACAGGACTGACATAGGCTAGCTAAAGATATAGGGGTAGCAAACTCAATAGAGTTTCTCTTTGGACTCCAAGGACTGGGTGACAAGGGACACAGCCCAGACAGAGAGGAGCAAGAAAGGTCTGGGAAAACAAACTCCACCCAATGAGAAGAAGGGAAAGATGACCCCCGGAGGGAGAGGAAACACCTTTGGCACAGATGTGAGCATGTACATCTTTTCTTGAGGGAAATTTGGTGACACACACTAAAGCCTTATGAGGTGTATATGCCTTGGGTTTGCCCTTAGGGAATAGTCAGCACTGTGAGCTAGACATAGGCACCAGAATGTTTGCTGCAGAATATTTACATTAGAGAAAAATTGGAAATGAACTAAACATCCAGTAAAAAAGCAGATAACCTAAATTATGGTAGATCTGTTCTTTGGAATACTTTGAGGTCATTAAAAATTATTTAGTGAAAGAATACTTAAATGAGATATTTCACAGTTGAGGGTAAAAAGTTAGGCACAACAAGAGGCTGGAAATGCTGTTTTTTATCGTGGTGGTTACCTGGGTGTGTTGAGTCAGTGAAAACGCACCGAGAAGCACCTTTATGATATGTGTTCCTTATTCTTTAATAAAAAGTTAAAAAAGTGGTTTCATAAGTAAAAAGTACATTATGGTAAAAGTTACATTAATATATTTCATATTTCATATATAGCTATGTGTTTATATATGTGAATGTGTATATACACACATCTTTATTTGAAAAAAGACTAAAAGAGGCCCCCAAATGGCAGCAGTTTATCTCTTGGTGATGTTACTACGAATCATTACTTTTATTAGGCGGTATAAATTGCCAATGTATATGTATTATTTTTGTAATAGTCTCTAAAACTTTAATAAATGTTAATAATAATAAAAAAACAATGGTCAGAGCATGGAACGCTCTACACCAAATACAGATATAAGTCAGATTCCATCACCGGGGCTCACCGGCTCCTCTGGGGGTGGAATACCACTGCAGGGCTTCTAGCCAGCACATCAGGTACCACGGCCCCCACCACAGTGAAGCTGGGGTAAGAGGGAGGTACACTCTCTTCCAGCTGGGTCTTGGGGTCAGATACCTGTGTCCTGGAGCCCACTGCTTTGTCCTTTTGGGTATGGCTTTTGTGGAGGCTCAGAAATAGGCAACGAGAAGTGTCTCCATCAGTGTCTGAGGACTCTCAGACTCCAGCTGGGCTCCCATTATGGCAAACTCAAAGACACGAGTGGGTTGGAAGCAATGCGGGACAGAATCATTCCAGGTGAGGAAACTCAGCTTCTTTCTAGGTGAGACTAGATTCACTTATCATTTGGGTGGCTTAGGTAAGAGGCAGCAGGACGTGGCCTTTATGATATGATATCTGGGACCCCTTGGAGATGTGAAGAGCAATTGAGTGGCACCTGAGGGGGTTTTTCAAAGGGAAAAATTCTCTAGAAAACATAATCAACCCCACTTGATTCAAAAAAGGAAGGCAGAGGCAGCATGGTAATGTAATAAAATAATAGCAGTATTAACAGCTAAAATTTATGAAAAACCACCCAGGCATTTTCCGAGCACTTACTATTCCATTTCAACCTCCTAATAGCTCTAAGAGGTAGATCCTATTATGATTCCCATTTTAAAGATGAGATAACCATGATTTGAAGACATTTAGTAACTTATCTAGGATTCTTGCCCATGCAGCTGACTGTGGAGCCCATGTTCTCAGCTACCACATTATGATAGGACGGTTGAAGTTAGGGGGTGAAATGTCCCAAAGGCAAGGGCTATCATCTCTGGTGGGTGAGCTCCTCAGGGTGCCCTGAACATGGGGCAAGAAAGGGTGAGCTTGAAAGAAAAGAGCTAAGATGTAAGGAGGTATTAAGGCCCTTGCTTTGTGAAGGTTACTTATTCTTGAGGATTAAGGAAAAAACCACACAACCATCTTGCTGGGATATGTAGTTGAAAGAATATAGATTTAGATTCAAATCATGGCTCTGCATTCATTCAGATAAGTCAATCATGTCACCCTCAATGTTCTACATCTGTAAAATGGGGTTAATTAAAGCCAATCTACAGATCTGTTATAAGGATTGGATTTAATGTGTGCAAACTTGAACATGGTAACTAGGACATTGTAGGTGCTGAATAAATGCAAGTATTGCTATCACATTTCTCTATGCCTGGAGTCAAGCAGATGGATAGGATCTTCATCGACCTCACGTGGACAAGCTAATGAATTATAATTGAATAGAGAAAGTGAAGAAGTAAAAATGAAACAAAGTGCATTTTCGTTTTGTACTGACATTGCTTTCATAGGACTAAGTCCCTGCTGGTTAATATTAAATTATATATAATACTAAGTATTCTCAGAAATTGATGGAACTATAATGAAAAATAATGCAGAAGGAAAAATAATTTCCTCACCTCACAAAACATAGGCAACTTTTTGGCAAAATCCACCACTCTGGTAATTGCTGGTGTGATGATTTTTGTAAAATGGCTGAAGGCTTCCAAGTCAACCTTTCCACCTTCTGGGGCATTTACTATTGGTGCTTGTCCAATATCTTCTGGCTAAGGAGGAGAAACAAGATTTAAATGAAGAAGTTTAAGGGATATTTATTCATCCTAGTTCTCACATGGCAGAAAGTCTCTTCTAAACTGCCAACCTGTACAGTTTTCAATTTTCACATAGTTTAGGTTTCTGAGCAAAGATATATGTCTTGGCTATTACTGTAATGGCCCCCCCAGTGATAATGTTCACAGGAATGTGGCTGAAGGAAGGCAGGAAAGAAGGAAAGAAGGAAAGAAGGAAGGAAGGAAGGAAAAAAGGAAGGGAGGAAAAAAGGAAGGAAGGAAGGGAAGAAGGAAGGAAGGGAGGAAGGAAGGAAGGGAGGAAGGAAGGAAAGAAGGAAGGAAGGACGGAAGAAAAAGAGAGAGAGGAATAAGAGGAATTTGGGTTCTGCTTCTGAATGCACACAGGGTATATACTTAAGCCAGGTGACATAAATTCCAGAGCACTTTCAGAGCACTGCACATTCTGAGGCCAGTCTTTGCATGTGAGGTGGGCACAGTGTGGGCAGTGAAGGGAAGTGAGGTTTGGGAGCCCCTGCAAAGAGCACCCTGTGGATTCAATCTTGTTTCTGGCTCAGCTGCTGGGCTTGATGTCCAGTCTGGCCTACAGACTCCAGACTACAGTCTCTTCCTGAGGGGGCATCTCTAGACTGCCTGTAGGAGCTGAACTGTGCAAACTTGGTAAACCTTCATGTCGAGTGGGGATTTTACTAGTATTCAATGTCCTGAGGGCACTTCTCTGCCATTCACTTGCCCAAGAACAATCCATGGCCTCGCTGCTCACAGTGCAGCAGCCTAGGTGTCACCTGAGGACTTACTAGAAATGCAGAGTCTCAGCCCTCTCCCCAGATCTAATGGTGCAGAATCAGCATTTTAGCAAGCCCCAAGGTGGCTGTGCTGCCACTTGGCTCCCAAAGTCCACTAGAGCCGTCTCATTCCTTAGCCAGGCATTCAGTGACCGGTGTGGCCTCTCATGTGTCTCCTGTTGTCACCTGTGCTTCCTGCCAGGAACAGGCCTCTCCGTTGCAGTTTCTTGTCATTATGATGGTAGTATGCATCATTTATCTGTGGCTTTTCAGGGAGGTTAAGAACAACTCCCTGAGGCCAGGACTGGGACCTCGTGGCTCAGACTACATAGCAATGTGCCAGGAGCCTCATATCTCTTCCCACTTGGAGGCTTTGACACCTTGTACATTTTGACACCTGAGGACATAATTTCAGCTCCTCTTCATATTCCCCTTGCCAGCCTCTCCCACTGTCTTCTGAGTGGTTGTGAATGTGATCAAAGGGATCGGAGACAAAGGCCCTGCCGGATGGTGGTCACTTTTGCCTAGAGCCATGGTGGACATATAAGCACTCAGGGGTGGGGGTACAGAGGGTGGGCAGAGATGGGCGTTGTGAGCGAGTTGAGCAAGGCTGAATCCCTCACTTGCAGAGGTGAGAGCACGCCATTGATATGCCTGCCACTCGGAGCTAAACGTCATTGTGCATCAGTGTCACCAGACTGCTGGGCCTCACTCCCAGAGTTCTGGATTCCATAGGTCAGGGGTAGAGCCTGGGCATCTGTATTTCTAACAGGTTCCCATGGCATGCCGATGCTGCTGGTCTGGGACCATGTTTAGAGAACTGCTGGGTTAGCAGTACACATGTCCAGCTCAGAGGCATCCAGTTACCATATTTCTTCTTACATCTCCTCTATTACACTGCTCACATCAAATTTTTAGCAGGGAAAAAAGCAAAGGATGATTCTTTTACTCTCTTGTTGCCAGGCCATCAAAGTCAACAGGAGCAGCCCATGCCCTCCAAGGGGGTGGCTGGTGTCATAGTTACAGCCTCAGGGAGGATTGTGAAATATATAACAAACCTTGGCTGTACTGACCTTTTCTTGATTATCCAGCAGGTTTTTCTGTTTATTTTATTTTACTTTCTAATTGTTTTGGGGGCAGCAAGTAGATGGGGAAAAAATTCTGTTTTCTGTTGTGTTTTCACAACCAATGACCATCTTTTTGGGCAACTGTAGGCATTGATAGCTTACGGAAGGCTACTGTTCCGCTGGCTTTCTGGATGCAGATGGAATTGACAGAATAATCACATGTACTCTTTCTCTTTCTCACAGACTGAACTAAGGGAAAAGGTAAGTTAGTTTCTCCTTTGGACATTGCTGCTTCTTGAAGCCTTCAGACCTCCTTGCTGGTTTTTATAACTACATTTACTCTGAAAATGAGGCTCATTTCACCTGCCTTGTCTACTTTACAACCCTGTAATGAAAATCAACTGATGAAAGGAATGTGGACACATTTAAAAAGGTAAGGGAGTTTTACACATACATGCGTGCACGCATACACATACGTACACACACACACACACACACACACGCACGCACGCACATCCATTTGGCCTGGTGAACCCAAACATCTTCTCACTGAACACTGATAGATCTAATCTAGTTGTTTTTAAATGGTATTCTGTGTCCTTTGAAATGTCAGTGGGTTAATGCTCTTGTGAATTTCCATTCAATCTGTAGGTTTGTGGGTATTTGAATCACCACCTCTGACACCCCTAAAGATGTGAAAAAAAAAGAAACATAAAGATATAGCCTGGTTGAACCCAAACATCTTCTCACTGAACACTGATAGATCTAATCTAGTTGTTTTTAAATGGTATTCTGTGTCCTTTGAAATGTCAGTGGGTTAATGCTCTTGTGAATTTCCATTCAATCTGTAGGTTTGTGGGTATTTGAATCACCACCTCTGACACCCCTAAAGATGTGAAAAAAAAAGAAACATAAAGATATATGCAATTCAATTCAATTAAATTCCCAAATGAAACCTCACAAGCTCTTCTGTTGAAAAATAAATATCAAGGTAGAAAAAAACTTTACTTTTAAGCCTCTGGGTATTTAATGGCAAATTCAATTGCTAGAAGTCAAACTGTATACAGAACAAAAGGCTTCTGTTATATCACTAAGCTTTATCTCCATGATAGATCTTGGACACTAAAGAAAACACACACATACACACACATATCCTATGATTGATCTGTGTTAACACATTAGGTTTGAGAAGTTAAGGTTAAGCAATGCAATATTGTTTGTGACTCCCCTGAAGATTTTTCAGCTAAGGAACAACAATCATTTGCTAAAATATTTGAAAGATGTTAAAAATAAAGAAGAGTACAAATATTTTACATCAGTTGAATCTTTCAACATCTCATTACAGCTAGTAGTAGCCTTGTATATCACTACATGAAATACATTTGCTTGTACACATGTGCACGTGGGATCAAGCTCAGATGCTGATAAGTCTCTGGCTTGCAGATTCACCTGTGTAGACTGTGGGACAAGCTTGCTTTTTGCCTCTGTGGATCACATTGCCTTAGCTGGCTCGAAGGGCCTACTTCCAACTTCCATTCTGACTATCTTCCTCCTTGTCTGCCCTAAGTAGACCTCATGAGTTCGCTCAGCTGACCTCTTCACATCTCCCAATTTGCTTTGCACTTTTCAGTTTCACTGCTGCCTTTCCTCTTGACTTTTGCTCTCTCCCAATCTCCACTTCTGTCTCTCATCTCTGCCCATTCTAAATCCCACCCAAGTCAAATTCTAGGTTCTCCTTGAAGTCTCTCAAATGACCTCAGTTTGAAATAATGTCTACCTCTTTTGAATATGCATGGTGGCCCACGTATATCACTCATATGGCAATTAGGCATTAGTTACTATCACTTTTTATTGTGGTTATGTAGGTACACATCTAAGATATGAACTTCTCAAGATGGGAATAAACCTGAAGTATCTTTGCCTACTATGTAGAAGGCATTGGGCCAAATGATGGAGGATAGAATGCTTATTCATTGAGTGAATGAATAAATGTATATTTATACATGTACTCGACCTATATTTATTGAGCAACTACCTTGGGCCTGGCCTAGTTCTAGATACTGATTGTACAGCAATGAACGACATATCCTCAAAGAACTTCCATTGTCATGAAAGAAGACAGACAATAAATAAGAAAATACTCTCAAGGAAGAATTTTAGTTTGTGACATGATAATACATGCAGGTCAGGAGATGGGGCAGTCAGCCAAGGCTGCTTTGAGAAATAATATGTGAGCTTTGACTTAAAGAATATCAAGGAGGAAGCCTTCCATAGAGCCAGAGGAAGAACATTTAAGGCTGAGGGAAGAACCAGTGCAAAGTCCTGAGGCCAGAAAGGAGGCCATGGTGTGAGATGAAGATTGGAAGGCAGGCAAGGGTTCCATGATGATGGAGCTTGTGGGCCATGGAGAGGAGATGGACCTGTTCTAAATGTAATGGGGGCACCACGAAAGGGCTTTAAACGTGGGAGCAGCATAACGAGATTTATGGTTATTATGTAGAGATGGGATACGAGGAGACAAAGGAAGAAGCCAACAGGCAACAGCAATAGTTTGGGTGGGAGCTGAAGTGAGCTAGACTACAGGAGTGGCAGTAGAGCTGGAGAAAAGTGGAAGAAACGAGACATATCTTGGGAGCTGAAGGCAGAGATTTCTGATGGACTGGGTGTGGGGTGAGGGACTGTAAGGAACCCAGAGTGACTCCTCTGGTTCAGTGGAGGTGGAGTCGGGGGAGAGGTATAAAAGGAGAGATTCAGGTATGTGTGTAGATGTGGGCTTCAACCCTAGCTCAGCACTAGAGGAGGCTGGGGTTACACAAATCGAGACTAACTGGCTTTTTGCTTTGACTATTTCATTAGTATTGTTCACAGTGAGTAGGAAATAGGGTCAGTTGACCTCTTTTCAAGTTTCTGGCTCAGAGCTGAGGACTTCTTTCCTTGAATCAGCAGCCCTCTGGCACATGCAGAGTGAAGTGGGGCCAAGTGGAACTCTCTCTTCCTCTGCTAGATCATAGAGTGTCTTCTCTCAGCTTTAAAAGGATGGGCAGGAAGACCTGGACAAATGATGAAAGATCCCTGAGCCTTAAGACATTACTATAGGCTCTCCCTCTTCCTGGGGCGAGCAGAGACAAGATGGTGAGGGTGGTGGTGGTAGAGATGATGGATGGATATAGTAATCACTTACATGGTTGTCAATGATATGCCAAGCACTTATATATATTACCTTTATATCATTTGGTAAGGGCATAAAGGCTATTAATCTTACAGAGATGAAGTAACATGTGTAAAGTCACATGATTAAAAAGCAACAGAGTCAAGCACTGAACTCAGGCCGTCTAGTTCCAATCTCCATGCACATAACTACTAAACTCCCCTGCCTTCTGATGTGGTTATCATAATTTCAGATGAAAGAAGCCTTCCTGACTTGATTGCACTTGTCTTGTGACCTGTCCACACAGACCACACATGGCCAAATCACTCATCCTATCTGCCCTTTCTGCTTATGCTCCTTTTCTGAGGCTATCCCAATCCAGAATGTGAGAAATCAGACTACAGGAGCTATGTCAGGGGAAATGTAGGGCAGGCTTGCCTTGGTTCTGATGGTCACATTTTATACTTGGATGGAATCCCATTCAAAGCCAAAGCTTTGCATATAAACTAAGGGAGCAGAATAATAACACAATGTCAACAGACAGTAATGTTGCTGGCGTGAGGTTTACTCTAGCCAAACATCTCAGAGCCCCTGGGAGGTGAAGAAGTGAGTTTCTCGTGGTGGAGAGACACAGAATTCCCTTGTTTGGCACCAGAGGCTTCTTGTTCCTGTCTCAGTCCACAAATACTTTTCATTATCGTTGTCATAACACATGAATTGTTGGTGATTAAATGGGGCACTTCTGTGCCATGAGAGAATTGAGTGGATTGGAAGAAACTAGAAAATCATATGATTAAGTGCTTTTGGAAACAGTTTTAAAGAGTGGCTTTAGAATTATGAAAATCTGCAGGGCTTTTGCAAAAGCTTCTATTTGCCAATGACTATTATTTTCTCAGCACATGCATAGATTCGAAACCCAGGTCAAACCACCAGTCTCTCTTTCTGACGTGAGTCCTGGTTTTAGGGTTCAAAACGATGAAGAAGCTCCTTTTGAGGAATAAGTTACTTATCCATTGCAGATAAATGAATATTTCTAGCCCTTATGACAACATATCACGTTAATCCTTTATGATCTATTATTGTACTGTTATTAACACATTAGGCCCCCTCAAATTCTTTTCAGAACAAGATGGGCTATCATCACATAAAAACAAATGAAGTAATATGCACAGCAGTGTTGCAACCAAAAACAGGGGTATCAGCTATATAGGTAACACAAATCCTGATGTATAGAAGCCTATTCAGGACGTGGCTATCATTTAGCAAAGCAGTCTTTAATGAAGGATTCCTAATGTCCTTGCAGGAATAATTCACCATGCATAAGACTGGAATTTCTATCCTGAGCATAAATACTCAATCGAGGTCATCCTTTTGTAAGGAGTATTTGTAAATATGTAACCTGGCTGAGACAACAAGGCTTAACTGTACTGTCTCTGAGGATGGGCTGGTGGAACTGTATGTTCTGTTTAATAATAAATATTTGTTGAGTTCTGTTCTGGTTATCTATTGCTGTGTAACAAGCTTCCCCAAAACTTAGTGGCTTAAAGACGATGAATTTTCACTCTTCCTCAGAGTTCTGGGGGCTGATGGGCTCAGCTGGGTGGTTCTCACTTGGGGTCCACCATACAGCTGTCATCAAATGGCAGCAGAGGCTGGTGTCATTCGAAGGCTTTTTCACTCACATTGCTGGTGCCTGGGCTGGCTGAGAATCTCTCCGCATGGATAGCTTCCTCACAGCATGGTGGTGGTCTCAGGGTAGCTGGATTTTTTTTTCTTTACATGGCAGTTGGCTTCCCCTTCCAAGATATCCAAGTGGAAACTGAAAGCCTTCTTAGGATTCAGCCTTAGAAGTCATTCTGCCTAAATCCATTGTTTAAAGGAACTGTAGACAGCCCAGATTCAAAGGGAGAGAGGAACAGATTGTACCTCTCCATGGGAGAGAATGGGCTGTGTATACAGGGGGAAAGAATCTAATGGCATCTATCTTGGAGAAAAGCTACCACAAATTTCAACCACACATATGACAGACACACTGATGGCAACACCGAAAGGAACGTGGTCCTTCCCCAAGGAGATGCAGAAGGGGATTGGCTGATAGAAATGAAATTCACTGTAGAGACAGATGGGACAGTAGAGGCATTCTGATCTCCCTCAGCACCCCTCTAAGAAAAAAGTAGCCTGAAGAAGTGGTTATTTGTATTTGGATCAAGAGGGGCAATTTCTTGAACAGATCAAGGATCTACAAATTATACATTTCGTGTAAGCTCCACAGGGAGATTGATGGGTAAAGCAGTTGCTCTGTAAATGTTATTTTCCTGAAGAAAACTCTTTTGTGCCTTGAGAATCTCACAGCCCTGACAAAAAAAACAATGGCAAATCATTCTGTGACACACCTTCTTTGGTTCTTTTCATGGATGATCAGACTGAAGAAAACTGTTAGGAGCTTTTGAGTTAAAGATGCTGACCTTGCTGATTTTAATTACTAGAAATTGTGCTGTATTTGCTGAAGAGACCACGAGGAAAAAAGAGGTCTGATTATATTTTACTTCAAAGAGTTGGTTTCTCAGCTTTCAGATGCAGCTCAAATGTTACCTCCTCAGAGAGATTTTTCTAACCTCCCTGTTTAAAGAAGTGAAGTCTCTCCTCACTTCCAATTCACAATCACTCTATCCCATCACGATAGTTATTTCCCTCCTTGCACTTACGGATACCTGCATTCATCTTGTTTATTTAACCCTTTTGTCTGTCTCCCTCCACTGGAATATGGCTGAACTTTTCCACTTCCTGGAACATAGTAGCAGTTCAGTAAATGTCTTCTAAATAAAAAAACAAATCTTTAAGTCTGGAAGAAGCACTTTAGTGACCACTGATTTGGTTTAGTTATACTAATATCCATTCTCTTTTTGGAGTAACAAAAATAGAAATGTAGGATTTCCTAGGAGAAATCTAGAATGTGTCCCAAATCTTCCACTGTAGTTGGAATTCAGCTTGGTCACTACTCTGAAACCAGATGGAAGTGCCAGGCCTGGAATTGGTTTCCACAATGTCCATTTACGGCTGACACATTTGGAAAAGGACAGATTTAGGCTTGGGCAGGACTCTATCTTGCTATGCCTGAAATATATTGGGTTAGAATTTATCTGTCTATCCAGAATTAGTATTTTCTAATTGTCTGGCAGAAATACCAGGGCGGGGCTGAGTATGCAGATCAAGGCACTGAGAGGCTGTCCCTCCAAAGATGAATCTTTCAGAGGCTCTTTGGGTTTGTGCAGGAGGCCAGGTTGCAGAGTGTAGTGGGTTAGAACACAGATCCAGGAGCTGGGCTTTATCCATCACCACTGCTTACTAGCTGTGGGGGCTCAGGTAACTTTCCTTAACTTCTCTGCCTCAGTTCCTGTCTCTTTAAAATGGAGACATTAACCACATCTACCTATAGGGTTGAGATAGGGAATTAATGAATGGAAAGCACTTAGAACAGTACCTGGCATTTGGTATGGGTCATGTAGCATGTTTGTTAACACTATTGTTGGTGGAAGCCATCAACAAAGTGTACTAGAACCCTTCATTACAATAAGGAAAGTAATTGTTTGAAGGAAAGTGGATTATGGGTAAGCTTTTTCTTTCTAAAAATTTCCTTTAAAGTTGTTGTTATATTGTTTCACACACAAAAAACCACGATTCCATTATAATGGTGATGTTGAGGTACAAGGACAATTATACCACTATATCTTCCTGTTCAGATGGGAAGGTACACTAACGTACCCTGAGGATACAAATAAACCCACAGAATATCTGATGTGGGGGCTCAGTGAGATGCTCACAAGGAGTTTGTGTCATAAACCAGGAGCAGGGTCAGGATCTGTGATGGCCAAATGCCAGCTGGTGGTGGGACAGGCCATCTATCTGGTGAGGTGGGTGGTGGGCCTGGATTTGAACCAGAGGACCTTAGCTGGCTTTTGGGCCCGGCTCAGCCACTTTCTAGTAGTTTGATCTTTGGTGAGCCACTTGAGGCCATGGGCTTGGTTTGTGTACTTGTAAAATGGAGATGTAACTGCAGCCTACCTCAAGGCATTGGGAGGTCCAAAGGTGAAATGAATAGGAAGGACTTTCACAATTGTTAGTTTTTATAAAAAACACCAAACATTGATATTCCAAGGATTTTGAAGAGCCTGTTTTCTCTATATAACCCTGCCTCCATCCCTTCTTCTTTTTCCCATTTTCTTCCTGGACTCAAGAGAATTTATTTCAAGTTAATCGTTTTGACTTCTACTGACATAAAAATGCATTTGAGATATGGGACACTTCATTCTAGGGGTTATTCTAAAGGGACTATTTTAGAGCGAGTTTAGCAGACTAAGTATGTATATAAATGGGCATCTGAGGGAAGAAATGGGTATAAAAAGGGAAAGATGGCAGGTAAAGAATTTTACTAATTAATGTAGGGTTGGCCTTACAGCAAAAACAAACAGATAATGTGGTCTTAGAAACTGCTCTAGAATTCAGCCACCAGCAAATAGTAAACGGTAGGAGGGAACTTTGTTCTCGGACAGACCTGGATTTAAATCCTGGCTCTGCAAGTCATCTTTCTCAGAGCTGCGGTTTCCCTACCAGTAAGATGAAGTAGTAACCCAGCATCCTGGGGTTGTGAGGACTAAATGAATTGAGGTAGAAAGTGCCAGCCTGCAGTCTATATTCAGCTGTGCCAGGTAGCCTCACCAGGAATTTCCGTTTCTGCTTCCAGTGGCTGCCTTGGGCATTGGTGGCCACATGGGCTTCCGTGACGGTTTTGATGAGCTCCCACTCCTCGTCGGTGGGCTCCGGCTTGTGCCCGATGGATTTCTGCAGCTCTTCCCGCCGTCTCTTCTCCCGGTTCTCCTCTATCAGCTTCCGCTTTGCCAGTCGCTTGCTGTCATCCAGTACCACTGGAAGAGGGAGAAAGTGAGACAAAACACACAGATAGTCCCCATGCACATGCCAGACTGCACGGCCTGGAGCCTCAGCGGCGGGACCACTGATGCACAGATGGCTCAGTGGGGCCTACAGCATGGGTCACACAGGAGCATTTTTTCCCCTATGTGGAACCGCCATTGACCAGCCATTGTCCAGAATGAGCACCAGTGCCGAAGTCCCAATGCCTAGCCAGCCTTTCAAAACAAAGGCCTGGGGCTAGTTGGATACTGGGTATCCCAATTCCATAGAAGGTGGCCCTAAATTAGAATGAACCCACAGATTCACAGATGAGTCAGTCTAGCCAATCATCTGAATTCACTCTTAGGGTTCCTATAACTCCCCCCTACCCCGCAAAAGCTCTTAAGAAAGTTCTCTTACTAAGAGAACTTAGTTAAGGAGGTTCAAGAAAAGTTCCAAAGCAATAAATGACAGACTAATGATCCCTTTCTTGGATAAAAAAGAACCTCCAGCTCTTTATTAGCTCTCTTAAGGAATCACTGGAATGTCACTTGGCTTGTCTTGGGTTTCGCAGATACTCACTTTGCATTACTCTCAACCTGGTCAACCCTTACTGACGGTTACTGAAGATTACTAACGGCTTTGTAATCTAGAAAGACCTGGGTTTGAATCCCGACACTACCACATTCTAGCTGTGTGACCTCTGGCAAGTTACATAGGCTCTCTGAGCTTACATTCCTTCCCATATAAAATGGGATCAATAATATTCACTTCACATGGAATTCACTGCGATGATTTACTACAAGTGCTCAGTAAATGTAGCCATGATTTTTATTATTTATGCGAAATGGAAATAAGAAGGGCAGATAACAAGAAACATATACTTCTGTGGTTGATTTAAAAAACAAAACCATTTTACTAGACTCTTAGTAACTATCAGTGGAAGGGAAAGGCTGAAGTTTTACAGTATAGAATCATAGTCTTTTAAAACTGGAAAGGACCTTAGATATTATCTCGTCCAACTCTCTCCTTTCACAGAGGAGGAAGCTGATCCAGAGAGATCATAACTTGCCTAAAGTCACACAGCAAGTTCATGGCAGAGTCAAGCCAAGACCCAGGACTCCTGACTCCAGTTCTACAACATGATTGTCCTGGGGCCATTCCTTCATGAACCTGGTAGGAAAAGAAAAGAAGCGAACATAGCGAGAGGACGAGAACCAAAGGTACTCAGCTAGTCCACAAACAGAATAACGAAACTCCGTATCATCTCGATTTGATTGGATCATCAAAGTCAGGTGAGCACTGACAAATGCGAGAAATGTGAATGAGCCCTGTACAGGCATTTTAGTTCACTCGTTAAAGGGAGAAGAGGAGGGGCGCTATACTCATAGCCCCATTTCCCGAATATGTCCACTGTGCCAGGATGGTTGCATCTGACATGCATTATCTAATTTAATCCTGAAAACAACCTTTAAAGTAGGTGGTAATTTCACAGAAGGGAAACCAGAGGTTAAGTCGGATGGTCATACAGCTAGTAAGGGGTAGATACGAGACTTCAACAGTTTTTCTGATTATAAAGCCTGAGCTCTTATAATACCTCACAAGCCAGTAAGGTGCGCTCAAAATTAATTTCCACTCAGTCTAGATTAACACTGAGTTTTTTAACTCATAAACATTCGTATCTTTAACTTTTCAATAAAACGACATAGATACTTAATAATAACAGTTCACTATAGTGACACATTTAAGCATTTGGTTCTAGGTCAATCATTTTCACATATCCTTATCAGGCATATTATTTGCAACAGCCTTTAAAAGAAGAAGACAAAGAACATGCTCCTCCTTTTTACGACTCCCTATTCTGTCTTCTTTAATGAGCAAACCAGGGCATTCCATAGATAATTTTGATCTAGCCGAGAGAATCGTTTGTCACATAAATGTAAGTCATGATTATTTCCTCTTTCATGGGGAAAAATACTCTATGCATTCTTTTTTTCCTTTCCTTTCATTCTTTCTTTTTCTTTTTTTAAAACTAAAAGTTGGAATCATTGATGTGCAGAAAGTTTATGTCAGTAGAAATCATTAACCCAGGTGCTTGACAAAAGGGAGGCCATATATTTGGAATGACATGATTCTTACTTTATTATTAGATTAATTAAAGTGACTGGTGTAAATCCCTTGCATAGTGTGGGGAGAAAAGACCCCAGTGGCGGCTAATCTCACCACCATATGCTGTAGCACTTTGAAAACTGGGTAGGAAGACTTCAGCTTGGAATGTTTTTACGGCTAAAAATATAACAAACAACCAACTGCAAGATGACTCATGCCATAGCATTCAACTTCACATTCTTCAGAAATTTCTGAACACAATGTTTTCTGTCAGTGTCTTGTCTCCAAAAATGGCCACAAAAGAAATTCCTGTCTTTGCTTTTGAAAAAATATTAGGACTTGTCCTTAAGGGGCTCGCCACGTGAATGTCGTATGTAAAATTATACCTTATCAAGGTGAATGGACAAGTCTCATTTGTAATCTCTGGGGCAAATGGAGTATTGCTAACAGCCCTGCAAATGTGACAGGGCTAACTTAACTGCTTTTCCTCACCCATTATCTGATATACCTTGAGAGTTAGGAGTTGATAAGGAAGGGGTAGCATGGAAACCACCCACCAATGACTGTGGGAATGCTAGGTGTCTTCCCTCTGTCCACACGTGTTCCTGCTTGTTTTTCTGCCTGGTTGATCTCCTTGAACCAAATCTTTCCCCAATCAACCCCTTGAATAAAGCAAAAGAAGAAGATTACTTACAATCTGTTGCCATGCCAACATAGATGCATTTTTTAAAGCGACATTCCTGGCACTGATTTCGTGTAACTTTGTCTATGACACATTTTCCTTCATATTTACAGGAATAGGATGGATGGAGATTTTTCTGAATGGTTCTTCTAAAGAAACCCTACATGAAAAAGGAGGATGCAAGACAAGAGTTACATATTTTTGAGAAATAAATGACTCCAGAATTTTGTGTCCACATAGCTGTGATGGATTGTTTTGTACCTGTGTATGGGCCTGAAGCTCCACTTAATCAAATATAGGACAGTTGGCCCAAAGTGAATCTAAAGAATTCTAAATCTGAGTTCAAGGCAATGTCAGAGGACTATTGAGTCAACATCTAAAGAGTCAACATCTTTTTGGCATTTATTCAAGAAAAAGAGGTGAATGGGAGAATCTAGTGTTTGCTTATATTTTTTCTAAACACTGAGTAATATAAATAAATGATATTATTTAATTTCATAGAGTGCCATAATTCTGTTTTTAAAGCAAGCTAAGAAGATGTTCGCTTTATACTTTATACTAGAGAATAAAAGAGCTGAATATTTACAATATTTTATTAGTTAATAATTCAATCAATTAGTAATTAAATGGATGTAATTGCCTTTAGAGATTTCATTTAATTCTTGTTTTTGACTCTTGAGATTACCATCACCAGCTCAGATAGCCCTTGAAACAACAGTAGCTGGAGAGTAGAAAATTCCAGGTTCTCTACCAAATTTTTCCCATGCTCATTGCACTGCAGTTTTACCTTTTACAGCACATTTCCCTCCCCACCCCCAGAATCCATAGAAGTACACCCTAAAGTTCAATATGTTTCTTCCTTTCTTGAGGCATGGGAGAATGCCTCTGACAAGTCTTCTATTATCCATTTAGTTCCAGGTTTAGGTGGCTTACATAACATTTTCAAGGATGTGTTATACTAGAACCTTTCTGCACATGGTACCTAAGTCTTGGCAACTTGTGTATTTCTATAATACTTGTGTATTGTAGAAATTAATAATGGCAGAGAGAGGATTTATTGTCAGGAGCACATTGCAAAGTGCTGTAGACATATTCCATGTCCTTCGTTGTCTTCTACGACCATATGAAGTAGGTACTCTTAAAATCTCCATGTTAGGGATTAAAAAAATACTAAGCCTCAGACAAGTTAAATCATTTGCCCCAAATGACAAGGTAAATACATGCTGGAACTTGGCTTAGAGCCCAGGAGATGGACTCTAAATCTTATTTACTTAACTGTTTATATGATATAAACAGAATCCAATTTTACTGTATTATTTAAGTGTTTTAGATGAACAGATTATTAACGGTCCTTTCTCATCCACCCCTCAAAAAAACAAAAACAAAAACAAAACTTCATTTTAATAGAATAGCAGGGCAAAACAGATTTGAAGGATGTCCTCTACTAAAGCTTAAAAAAATCTTTAACTTTGTTTCATAAGTGGTGGGACTAGAATATCAGTTGATCTAGATTAAACCTCAATTTTAATTATCTCATTTAACTTTCTTTGGCTTTGATTATGTACTTATACCACTTGTATATTCCTTACTTAGACATAAGAGCTCTTTCTTACAATGAAAAAGTCAAAGGTAGAATTTTATATTGGGCAAAGAGGAATAAAATGGAAAAATGACAGCAATAATTGCAACTAATGGACTCGATGTGGGGGCATGTATGCTAAACCCTTATCATTTCTATTGTTCAAGTTCTAAGAGAAAAACTGTCATATTATAATTTGGTTTTGCACCCTTAAACACTTGAGTCCATTAACTTGAATAATGTTGACACACGGTTATAAGATTCACTAAATCACACATGGGGCAGCTGTTTGACAGGTTGGCAGTGTTTCCTTGGGTATTCGAGGTGGGCAAATCCTGCCAAAGCACGAATGTCAGGGCCTGCTACAGAGTGAAAAATAAGTTGCTTTGTGAATTTTCCTCCCCTACTTCTGTTACCCTCTGTCTAATCCACCCTTCTAGGGTTGTCCCTGTTTGGAGGGCAAAAGAAACCTGGAAATTCCAGGCAGGAAGACATATGTCATAGACAGGGAGGTGAGAGGCTGGGTAGCATACCACATTCTAGAGGAGGCAAAGCTTCCCTACAGGTGGAAATACCAAAGTCCAGGGCATCCAGTGAGAATGCTGAATGCTGCTATGAGGGTAGAACAGCTGTTGTCCTATCTGAAGTTGGGGGGATACTTTTCTCACATACTCTCACATTGACCCATGTTCTAGGAGTTGGGGAGCATGCTGAAGAGTCAGACAACACTAAGCAGAGAATGAGGTGTGACATACCAGACACAGGGGTTAACAGTCATTTCTCCAAAAAACTACTCTATGAATTTTTAAATGGAATGAATGAAATAATTTATACTTTGCTTATTTCAAAAAAAGTATTGAGGTAACAGGCTCTGTTATTCATTGTGCCACCTTTTCCGTGGCTTTTCTCTGATGACTTTCCTTGGGCACTTCATAGACTGAGTCCCGTTTGAGATGCTGGCCTCCTCTAAATGATAATAAAAACATATTTTGACTCCTGATGAGGGAGCACTTCATATGAGTAAATGTAAAGATGCTAGGTCCCTTAATTTTAAAAGGTGACAAAAATTAAGTTGCAGAAGTGAACTTGGGTAGAAAATATTTAACATAGCCTACTTATTAAAAACCTTTTTTTTTTTTCCCAGAGGTGATTTGAAAAGGGGACATCTCAGGGACTGAATAAGGACATAAATTTCATTTGTAATTTGCTGGGGAACAAAGGTTTTGCTTTTACAAATCAACATCGGATATGTTTCCATGCATTTTGAGAACTGGATCTATTTCTTAGTGGTCGGAGGTGATGCATTAAGGAGCATGTGATAAGGAGCCAAGTGTCACCCTCCTAGTTCAATATTTGGGCAACTGTTATAAAAGCTTTCACTTTTTCATAAAAAAGTGACTTATTGTAGGTAGTATCAACATTCTTTCTGCAAAAGATGCACAAAAACTGGCCCATCTCCAAAAGATTTCCACTGTCTTCAGGGCAAAAAAGGTCAAAAAAGATTCTCCTTATACACATTGTAAGTATGGGGCAGAAATATTTTTAAATTATAGGTTTGAATAAACGATATGTGAAGTATAACCTTTTTCATCTTTAGCCACACTTAAAAACTGTATTTCATTTGAAAACTCTTGTCTTTTTCCAAGATACTTTGTCCTCAATTAAAGGATCTGCATAAACCCTTTAGGAAGGCTTCTCTTGATGGTTGAGGTAGTCCTAGAAATAGGGTTCTGATCTGAGATAAAGGCACAGAGGTGGAGAAATCTAGATTTATGCTACATGATTTCTTCTTTTAAGTAGACCTCAGTTGAAGCAGGCCCCAAATGTCGTGTGATTTAGGGAAAAGAGGCTAATGGGTTTCTTTATCATCATGAAGACATGGGTTAATGTGCCCAATTCTTCTTTTGTTTAAGTCAGTTGCTAATAAGCGTTAAGTCCTCTCTGTAAGGCACATTCAGTCTTTAGAGTCATTTTGGGACTTGAATGTTGAATGGAATTTTCATTATGATCTCTTCCAGAATTCAAAATTTACCATTAGAAATTGATTGGAAAAAAATTGCAATGCTGCGTAATCAGGTTGGTAAAGCCTTATGAATTGGAGCTAATTTAGAAAAAAAGGCCTGCTTGAATTACTGAGCTTTTTGAAAGAGGGAGTGTATCTAAAACGAAGTAATTTTATTATTTTCAAATCAAGCCAATAAAACTGTGCTGTAAAGAGATAGTCTGTAAGTCCCCCAATTAATAGATATTTGTAATTAGTTCTATTAAATTCCTTAAAACATTATTATCGCAAATGTAATAGCAGTCTTTAGCTCGATCTTTGTTAAAAGGTTACATATTCCAGTTCAAAGGGGTCTGGATGAATGAGAACACATTACATCACATTCCAAAAAACCGTTTTGCAGATATAAGGCCTCGAAACCTTAGAAATGACTTCTTTCTAATGGATGTATCATCTTTTAGCAGGCTTTTAGCAGGCTTCTGCTAAGCGTTTCTTGATTTCATGCTCAAAAAGTACGGAATTTGCATGGAAAATAATTCCTCTAGGGAAATGGTCTACCTTAGTTTGAAACTGAGCTAACATGTTGATTCCTGGGGTTCAGGGTGAAAGATTAGAAGGAAAGGGGTAGTCAGAAGAGGGGAAGGAGAGGAGAGGAGGTAAATTGGGTGATGACGGAGGAAAGATTGAATTGATTTCATAAATTTTAATACAGTTTTTGCTTTAGGGTTTACATCTTGTGATGACTTAGTTTTAAATGTAAAAGGTAAATACAACATATAACAAAAAAAATTTAAAAGGCTTTTCTCTGATAATATACTTCCTCATTTTAAAAACATTAGTTGAAAGCTGGATAGAGCACTGGGTTAAGCTTTATTTACCTTTATAGTAGAGCTTATTTCCTAGGCTAGGTTGTTGGATCAAAAGATATTTGCCAGAAAGCTTGTTTTAATTTCGATGACAAAGATTGTAAGTAGGCAAATTTCGGCTCACTTTCGGGAATTGAACTGATTGTTGATCCCTGGTGTACTCTTGTCAAGTATCTCCTGAAGATGGGTCTATAGAGCATAAAATTAGTTGATGGATGACCAGAATTTACTTACTGCAGGCTGTGCAGAAAGCCATTTGGATAATTTCAGAACATAATTGAATCTAAGTACTCTCAAAGATATTCCCTAATGAACCCCTTAAAAGTGAGCATATTCACTCAGATTACAGTGGTGAACAGCCTGTGGCAGAGCGAACTCTGTCTCCTCCAATATTGGAGATAAAACGGGAGGAGAAATGGATATTTCTTGAGATGATAACATTTTATAAAATATCTATCCATTTTAAAACTCAAAGTGAGAATTTTATTAATTTAGTTTCATTTTATTAATTATCTCCCTGTCTAAAAAGCAGACATCATGCTCTTTCCAAATTTCATTTAGTTATTCCTGATTTGGAAAAAAATTTTGGTTCTTGAACACGCCAAAAAATGAAGAGGACAATCAGACACCAGGATGATCCCAGGTCATGAATGTTGGAATTTGACTCTAATTTGAACTTAAACTTAATGTTCTGGTGACCAAGAGGGGACTGAGCTGTGGGAGCTCCGAGCTCACTGGTCCCAGGGCAATTACCTTGCAGCCTTCACAGGTGATGCAGCGGTAGTGATACCCGGTGGCTTTGTCACCACACACCACACATAGCTCGTCCTTGTCTAAGTAACTGGGGATGTACCCTGTGAAAAAGGAAAGAGGACTGTGAGAAAACAGTATCTAATGTTAAAATCGAAGACATACCACAGTTAGGAGGAAGAGAAGGAGAGGACAGGTGGTAAGGTGGGTGAGGGGGGAGGCAAGACTAAATCGTTTTGTATATTTAAATACAACTTTAGCTTTAGGGTTTATATCTCATGAGCATCTAATTTTAAATATAAAATGTAAATAGAACATTTAACAAGAAGATATTAAAAAAAATCTTCCCCTGACTTAATATACTTCTCCACTGTCTTATACTTACTTAGTACCTTGTCTCACACTTATAGAGCTAATATTAAGGCCCAGAATTTCAGAATGCCTTTGAAATGGGTGTGATCAATTTTGCTCTGTAGGTGGAAATAGACCCGAAGGCCTTTGGAGCCAATGAATCATGCAGAGAGGCCAGGATTTGGGGCACCTGGAGCGCCCTGAATTCTGGACAACCCAATCTTTTTCATAAGGCTTATTTCAGACCTTGTTCTTAGAAGGCATGATCCACATTAGAGTTAAGACACCATGAAAATAAATTCAGAAAACTTTATAGCCAGAAAGTTCCTAAGAGATCATCAAGTACTCATGAGGTGAACAGGCCCTCAGAAGTTGGCCTTCCCCAGGGTTGCCCTAGAAATTAACAGCAGAGACTAAAACCTAGGTCTCCTAACGTCTAGTTCTACAGTATAAGTTAGGTTGGTCCTCTTCTAAAAATAAACAATTAACTTTAAGTAGAATGAATAAGGCCATCTAAAAAGAAATTCGGTAAACTTGTGACATCATGATACACAGCCCAACAACTCTGGGTAGTGTGAAATAATAGAGGTTCTACTTATTAAGAAAAAAAAGGAAAAGCCAACCATGACAACTCTCTTTTTAGTGTACTATTAGTTTAAATTCCTTGACCCAGGAAGCTAAAGTTTAAAAACAAAAACAGAAGCAGTTACCTGCCATCTGTCTTTCCTCTTTTCCTTCACGTGCAGATTAAGTCCAAACACAAGACCCGGACTCAGAAGAGCAAATTCAGTTTCATATGTATCAACAATTTACCACAGAAGCACACAGCTTAAATAAGACCAAAAAATCAAAACAAGGTCTGATTTGCTGGGATGTGGAGAATGGAGAAGTTGAGAAAACAAAATTCTTTCTCCTAGTCATGGTCCCTTATGAAGTTCTTTGACTCAGTAAACTGTTATTGGTTTCAGTAAAGATTAGCCAGGTTGAAATGACAGATGCCTTAATTATATGTTTTACTATGACATTTTCATAGAATTTTTTGTTAAACTAGGTCACTGAAGGCTTACTTTTCAGAAAAAAGCCACACACACACACACACACACACACACACACACACACACAGAAGAAAATGAATCCTTTTCACTATTTCTTAGAAATTACCTTGCTCAGGCTTTATTTTTAGAAAAATGTCCCTTCTTGAGGGAGAGATAAATAACTTCAAAGTGTGATTTGGTCATGTATAAGATTATTTTTTTAAATATCACAGATTTCTTAGTTTACTTCTGTGTCATGGAAACCGTGAGTCATCTGTTGAGTTCACTTCAAGAGTTTTAAAACTCTCATCAGATGTTTTAAAAAAGAGAATTCTGGGAGGGATCTGGGCAGGAAAAAGGGACCTGGAATGATTTGTGTGTTCATTCAAAAATTCATTTATTGATGATTTCAGAAAACATTTATCCAGTATCTACTATGTGCTTAGCACTGTGCTTGGTGCTGAGACTATAAAGACAATAACATATGGTTTCTTCTTTTAGGAAGCACATATCTAAGCAACCGAGTCTTATATTTCCAGTCCTGGTCATTTCTCAGCGAGAAAAAAAGGTAAAAATGAAGGAAAAAACATGAATGATGCTAAGCACCATTGCAAGGAAATGCAAACCAGAACCACAATGAGATAGATACCACTTAACATCCTCTAGGATGATTATAATAAGAATGGCAGAAAATAATAAATGTTGGTGAGGATTTGGAGAAATTGGAACCCTCATATGTTGCCGGCAGGAATGTAAGATGTGCTTTGGAAAACAGTTTGGCAGTTTCTTAAAAGGTTAAATAGAAAGTTACATAAGACCCAGCAATTCTACTCCTAGGTATCTACCCAAGAGAACTGAAAACAAAAAATCGTACACAAATGTTTAAAGAGCATCATTTATAATATATGAAAGGTGGAAACAACCCAAATGTCCATCCAATGATGAATGGAGAAACAAAATGTGGTATAGCTATACATTGGAATATTATTCAGCCATAAAAAGGAATGAAGTACTGTTACATGCTACAACATTGATGAATCTTGAAATATTATGCTAAATGAAAGAAGCCAGACACAAAAGGGCACATATTGCATAATTCCATTTATATAAATGGAATTTATATAAATTTATATAAATTTATTCCATTTACATAAAATGTCTAGAATAGGCAAATTCACAGATGTAGAAATTAGATTAGTGTTTGCCAAGGCCTGGAGAGAGAGGAGGATGGGAAGTGACTGCTAAAGAGCACAAAATTTCTTCTCAGAGTAATGAAAATGTTCTGGGATTTTTATAGCATTGATGGTCGTACAACTCTGAATATACTAAGAGTCCCTGAATGAAAACCATTGTTTTCTATGGACATATTTTGTACACTTTAGAGGTGTAAAGTTTATGATACGTGAAATACGTCTCAATAAAGCCGTTATTAAAATACAAAGAAATGAAGGAAATAAAGAGGATGGTTCCATTTGACAAACGTTTATATAGGTATACTATGTGCTAGGCAATGTGCCAAGGATCTATAGATGATTAAGTTTTAATTCTTGGGGAAGCTTACAGTGTAGTGGGGTAAACAGGTAATAAGAGCTCATCTGCGTATCATGTGATAGGCACTGGGATGGGGCAAGTCCAGAATCACAAAGGGGAAATCTCTGAGAAGCCTTCCTGCCCAACTCCCAGCCCAAGTCCAGGTTGGGTGCTCCTATACTTCCCTACGGTTCCCCAATAGTAGCCCTTTATTATCGGCATTATAATTACCTATATATATATTTCCTCCCTTAGACTTTAATCTCTGATTCATTGTAGGTTTGTACAATTCTACCTAGAGACAGGAATCCTATCATTTATGCTGAAACCTCAATGTCTAGCACCTGCTTCCTTTGGTGGTTGGCACCACAGTTTTTCAAGATTGTTGCTATCAGCCAGTGGTAAAGAACATAAGAGAGGAAGGTTATATCTGGAACTTACAGATGGGAAGGCTTGAAAGATGGAGGCGTGCCTAAGAAGGCTAAAGATCTTGGCAAGGGTTTCTGAAAGGGCTGATAATACAGATGTGGGGCCCAAACTTCTAGTCTAAGGAAAACTGCATCATAAAGTTTAATTTTTGGTAAAGAAATCAACATTACACTCAGATTAAGATTAAGGTATCCAGATTCAAGCTCATCCAAGACCTAGTGATCTAGGGAGATGCATGAACACTAGGCATTGATTCATTTCAAACACGTTTTTGGGGAGTCTATCCATACGAAGAAACAACATGAAAAATTCCAACAAGCCTCTGTGTCCAGAGAACTAACTAGTTATCAAGTATGTAGAATCGGGGAGTGGGTTATAGCAAAAATGGTCAGAGATGCTTAACTAACACATACCTATGGACTTCAGTGATCAGTCTTTATGAATCAAAAACAATATGTATATTAGTTCCCTACAAAGTCCAGTTCATTTTAGAAAAATTGAAAACATAAATTAGCAGCACACAAATTTATCTATCAATTCTCCACCATAGAGATAACCACAGTAGCAAGATTAGTGTATGACTGTGTGTATATGGGCTTGTGTGTGCAACACATACTTATAGAATACAAAGTAATTTTTAAACAACAAAGTAACCCAATTATTAAAACACACACCTTCCTGACAAATGGAATATACATATCGGTGTTGTCAGAAAGGTTACATCTTAACTGGTTATACACAGGTTACGCACAGTTGATCAGAGTAAAGACTTCTGTGTTCTTGGTATCAAGTGCAGATGGCAGAGATAAGAGAAAAAGAGGTGCTCGTTATTTCCTTGTAATTTCACGTTGGGGAAGCAATCGTAATACAGTTGGACACTGTGCTGCTTGTGGGACATGCCATGAGAGGGCCAGAGCACGTTAGAGTTAGGAAGATGTAGGTCTCTCCCCATCTCTCACCCTGCTTCGCCATGATCTGCCTGCTTTATTCTTTGGTGAGGGCAGTAAGACACTGAAGACTTTCCTCCTCCCCGTAGCTCAGCAATTTATGTAGATGGTTGAACTTGGAATCCCATAATAATTCAGTCTGTGAGGGGCATGGGCTCCTTCTGTTTCCTGACTGCTAGTCTGACGAATGCTTTACTTTGCTATCTTATTTCTCCTAAATTATCTTCTTGGTGGATGGATGAATAGATGATTAAATATTTCTTTAGTTAAATCATTGAAACTTCTACAGAAACATCTGCTTAATTTGGTAGCAGTTGCTTACATGATCATAGTAGTGCAACCTACTCATCTCTTTCTTTTCTCTAAAATATTAACTTGGAACCATCTTATTTACCCAAAACAGTCACCACAGGCAATGGCACATCAATCATTATGCCTAAGTCCATTATTCATCGCTAAATAATTTCCATCAGGGATCAACATCCCACGCATAATGAATAGGTAGGTGGGGATTCTCTTAAGGTTACTGAATATACTTGACAACATTACATGCGAACCATTTCTCCTAGAGGACTTAACCATTTCTTGCTCTCCTAACTCAGAGTCTTCATCTTTTTCCTTTTTCATGATCACCGAATGAGTCACATGCTGGCAATTTGCCCAGCTAAGGACAATGCACATGCAGTGCTAGTTTAGTTGCCAGGAGTGGACACTAAATGGAAGTCAGAATTGGGTTCTGTCTAGAAACAAATATGAAAAACATAACCCTGGAAGCCACAATGCTCATCTGAGAATTGTATCTGCAGGTTGGAT